ATGAAAAACATATTTAGTCAAAAGGTTATTATTGGGCTGGGAATATAGCTCAGTGGCACAGAACCCACCCAGCAAGCACGGGGTCCTGAGTGCCATTCCCAGTTCCAAAGAAATCAACCAAGAGTTATCATTGATAAGATGACTTAGGGAAAGAAAGTATAAAGCCAGTGAGAAAAAAATGCATAGTGAGATAGGATTCACTTATCTTGAAATAGAGCATAAGAAGTGGTTCTGAGCTCAACAGTGAAGAGGGAGGAAGCATTTTTCAAAGTTTGTGATGAATTCGAGGAGCTTTAGAAAAAGCTTGGAAATCATAGAGCAATGAATGAGGTGGGGTCGATGGAGCTGTGCTTTGCTGCATTATACTCAGTAAGCAGAGAAACAGTGGGACACAGGAGATGAGAGTGTATGGAGGTGGTAAGTAGAGGGCCTTCATAATGGTTTTTGGTTTTTGCACCAGGAATCAGACTCAGGACGTGGCACTTGCTGAGCTATATCCTCGACCCCGAAGATCTTCACTGTAGCACTTCCAAAGTGAAACTCCTTAAGTCCTTAGACATACAGCACTGGCTTCTCACAGTTCTGCTGAGGTGGCATAGTGCTCTGTCACAGAAGTCCCCTACCATCTGGTGACCACAGACTCATCCAGTGCTAGAGTAGGCCTGGCATGGGAGGTTGCTCCAAGTCACAACTTCCAAAAACTGGCAATCTATTTAATGTCCTGCCTGCTATGTATACAACCTCTTAGAAAAAGTTAAATTGAGTTCATCGTCTCAATATCCACAGGTTTGGGAAATTCTTTATCTGTTAGATCGTAGAGGGAGACATTAAAGCACACAGAATAGAGAAAACTAATGTCATTTGTACCTCATTTCTCTGTACCTCACATTATAAACCATGACCTACTCTGAGATGATGATGTTCTTTGATAGCACTATCCTGCATTGACTTCTGTCATCTAAAAATATTTTTATCCCTCTTTCACAGTTCACTGATTCAGGTTTCCTATGACAGAGTTATAGCTGTAAGAAGGAATATTCTTTAAATTAGAGGAAAGGAAAAAGATAACAAGGCCTTCTGAGGCCTTCAGGGAAAGGTCAGTGGCAAGTTGGATAGAAATAGTTGGCAGAATACAGATCCAGCAGCTCTGTCTTCATTACACTTTATGATGTCATGCTCCAGAGAACATAAAGTTCTCAGTTTATTTTTTGGGAAAATTATACAGATCCAAGATCATTATTTTTGCCTTTCCACATTAATAGGCAGTGCGTTAAGTTTGCATTAGAACTAAAAATGATGCAACCTAATTTTAAAAGCAAACTGCTGCTTTTAAAATTAATAAATCAAAATACTCCATCATAGGGATTTGTTTATTGCTCTGAAATTTTCACACAATTTGCAATAAACCTCAGATTTACAGAAGAGCCCCAGAACTACTGTTTGGTGCTGATACACTGAATTCCATCAAAGTTTTCTTCAACTGTGTTTATGGAAGTTATACAAAAGAATGAGCGAACTAAAGAGTTGAGATGATTTATGCTTGAATATGCCAAAGTAATTATGGAGAACAATTACATATGACAGTATGATTAGAACTATCAGGAATTATGAGGGTTGCAGATAAGCATCCAAAAGTTCTCTGACATCCTAAATTGCTCACAATTTTTTTCCCACAATCTTATTAGTGAGATAAGAGTAATTAAAATAAAACCAAGAGAAGGTAACCTAGAAGGATTACACCTATACAAAGAAGGAAAGAATCAAAGAAGGCTGCATGCATTTCAGCAGTACCATCAGGAAATGCACTCGGGAATCAGGATGCATTATTTCCCTATCTTCTTGAATTCTGCTCAATCCAAACCCTTACATCAGTATCTTGCACGTGGCAGTCATGCCATAAATATTTGCTGCTTGATCAAATTATTTTTTCAACAAGGTTGTAGTACAAGTAAGCCAGAGAGACACTCTGATTTTTCTGTCAAATAGGTAGTAATACTGAAAAAAAAAACCCTCTGTATTGACCATGATAGAGTTTCTTACCAAAACATATTGCCAATGAGAAGGTAAAGTTCATAAGTCTGCTTAAAGAATGCAGTACTCATTAGGTCTCTGCCACACCATACAAGAATGAAATACAAAGGAATGCCTGTTGGATTTTGGTAATAACTTTAGTTCACTAGTCTGATCAACTAGTTATGATCTATAATATCAGTATTTTATAAGGCCAGCAACTAATTCTTTTCTTCAGCAACAAATATTCAATCTAGTGCCATCAAACTGAGCTGCACCTCCAGCCTTTTTTTATTTTCTGTTTTGAGACAAGTTCTTGCTAATTCACAGAGTAGTTTAGTATAGGGTCAAACTTGCTCTTCCTGCTTCGGGCATGCAGAGTGCAGGGATTACAAGTGTACAGCACCATGCCCAGCTAGTCGTTAGCTTTGCAGCAGAAATGTTCCTCTAATGCTTGGTATACCCAAAATTTGATGTAAATACTTAAAGGATGTGAACTGCCTCCTTCTTTAGGAGTAGTACTTAAATTGTAGCTATTTTATGTCTCAGAAAAGCAGGTGTCTTTTATCCTGATCTCTTTATGTTAAGGAACTATTGTCTGTTTAGACATTAGCCACGTGGAATTTCATCTCCCAAGTAAACAAAAAGAATTTAATGATATGATTGCAATTAGTTTTGGGCAAGAACATAAGATTATTTAAGGCATTAGACATAGTAAAAATAGTGGTACATCATCAAAGACAGTAGTAGAATGACACCCATTAATCAAGTAACAATCTTGGCTGAATTACTTTTAGGTGAATTATGTCTACTACAAAGTTGCATTTTGATACACAACCACATTGAAATGCATATTATAATTTAGGATTAGGCTGCTGCTAACATATATATAAAACAACTACTGTGAGCACCACAATAGCATTTCAGAACTGTGGTATAATGAACATGGATTCTTCTAAATAATGAACTACATGAGACTACCGCTTCAGAAATGAATGTCTCCTAAAGGAAATGTAAACAATGTCACCCCACCATCAAGAAACAACCTTAAAAGAAAAGAAACAATCTTATGTTATTTTCCATCTTTCTGTATGTATATTCATTAAGTGATCTCATATGCAAAATAGTACCTGTCATCCTATTATTTAAAAAACAGTTTATAAACAAATTAGAAATAGAATCTGAAAAGTAAAAGAAAAAAACAGAAAACAACTCTTTTTTTTTTTTTTTTGTACTTTAGCGAAGGGGCTACAGGGTGTTCAGGGTCTCACTACTAGATCAGACTCATAGTGATCCACCTGTTTAAAGCCTCCCAAGAGCTGGGATTACAGGCATGTGCCACCACGCCCAGTGTCAATTGCTGTCTCAGAGTGCCCCAGGGGAAGGGCCGGCACTGCAGGCCTGGGGATCGAACCCCTGACCCCTGTGCCTGCTTGCAGGCGCTTTAATCCACTGAGCTATTTGGAATTCACTGAGCTATCAGAAAACAATTCTTGAAAAACAGGGTTAATTCATATTTTTGCCTCTGACTTGTCATTAATCTATTTTAGACAGGAAGATATGTCCTTTTATGAGTCAGATAAGTCTACACATCATAATTCCTGGAATATACTTTTATTTCTACTCCCAAGATTGGTTATACTCACTTTGAAATTGTTTTCTTCCTTCTTATTTTAAAAATCCTTAGCCTAGAAGTGCCTAGAATATCACCTGTCATTCTCATTTTGCTGAGAAAATTCTGGCATTTTATTTATTCCATTCTATTTCAAGTGTTCAAAGTTCCAAATTTCAACTTTGGGGGACCAATTTCATTATACTATAGGAGGACAAGTAAAATAGAAATGGAAGATTTTATAGCAATTATATTAATAATTTTTACATCTGAATGAACCAAGCATTTATGGGAATGGGAAACACTTGGATCACCTAGGCATTATGAACAGAGGTATAGATTTGTACAACTACTTGAAAAAATGTTGCCATTGTTTCCTAAATTCAAACATTTACACTGCATATAGAATATTTTTTAAAAATGAATTAATTATACCAGGGAGTCAAGGGTGACAAGATGATAACAGTGATTCATAAACCGAGTCATTATTAATCCCATTCTGTACAATTGAGGCTAAACCCGTGGAATACAAAGATGGCTAAGGGGCTGGGGAGATAGCTCAGTAGAATAAGTACTTGCCTGGCAAGCACAAGGGCCTGAGTTCAATCCCCGGTTCTACTAAATAAATTAATTAATTAAATTAAAATAAAAATAAAGGTGACTAAGCACCCAATGGGCACCACCTAATAAGGCAACATGCCAAGCTGGGACAGAAGTAAAGGTGACTATGGAAATAGACAAGTGGTTTGGGGAACACCATTATTTTAAAGTAGTGCTTGGTCCATAAAATTGAATCAATAAATATTTGCTTACCTAATGAAACAAAGACTGGAAGAAGATAATAATTATTTTCAGGCAGCTGCTAGAGATGGCAGCTTCTCAGAAATAGCCAAGAAAAGCAATGCAAGGTGCATAAAATGGGCAGAGTTTTTGTTTTATCTATTTGAAAGAATGTGAGTGCCTTCCAGATGCACAAGAAAAATGTGTCATTATCTTTTTGTAATTCAAGGACAATGATCTACAAGTTCTTGTTAGATAATTGTAAGTAGTTATTCCATATTTAAACCAACATAAACTTTTAAGTTTGAAAGAAGTTTGCTTTGATAAGGGAAAAGTATAAGAGTAGAAAATGTAGAATTATCTATTAAAAATTAACTACAAAACTTTAGCTGAAACCTCAAAAATGGCAATTTGAAAAAGACAAAGATAATTGCCTGTGGCAATTAGGGAGATGTTTAACTGTGAGAATAACTATTATTGATGCCAGGAACTGGACTCTACAAGTTACTTCTTCCAATCCTCACAGCAGTCAATGAAGCAGTTACTATTGATCTCTTCTGCACAGAGCACAAGGTTGCAACTGCAGCTCAGCTGTCTAGAGCACTGGAAAGTGACTCAGCGGACTTTCCCTTGTCCAACTGGGCATCGACCAGTGCAAAAGCAAATCCCTCCATAAGCTGGGAGAGTCACACTGTGGACTGCTCCTGCATGCAGGTGGGTACATTCCTCATGTGACACTGTCTACACAAAGGGAAAGAGTAGAGAGACAAATAGAGTGCCTGTGATTGCTATAGAAAGGTAATCACAGTGTGTACACCAGGTTAATAGCAGGTACTCAATAAATGTTACCCTTCCTAGTATATTATTAGCCTTACTAGCTGTGAGACTCAGCAATTTAATTGACTCTTCTTGGACTCAGTGCTGTAGTTCGTAAAATAAGTTTGATACCACTGCAATAATTTGAGATTGTCATGGTAATTCTATAAAAGTATAAACTCATTTAAATTTCTTGACAAATTGCCCCTTCAGTGCTTGTGCAACAGAGTTAAGTGGCTTTTTGAAAGATTATAATCTTGAAGATATTGAATCCCATATATTTTATTTGTTCCACATTTCTTCTGGTTTTGTTTTTTGTTGTTTTGTTTTGTTTTGTTTTGTTTTGTTTTGTTTTTGCTCCGAATGCCTTCAGGGCAGTTTTGGCTGGCTTGAGTTGTGGGGATCGAACCACAGCAACCTGAGCCTGATTCCTTTGTTGAAGCAGCCGCTTAAAGAACTGAGTTAAGGGGCAGGCCCCCTCTACTGGTTTCTTGACTAGCCATCAGCTGAGTGCTCTGAGTTGGCCAACAAGACTGGGCATGGTGGCGCATGCCTGTAATCCCAGCCCTGGGGAAGCTGAAAACGGGAGGATCATTATGAGTCCCAGCTGCATATAAGACCCTGTACCAAATACACAAGAAAAACAAAGCTTTGAATCCTCAACTCCCCTTTAATCTCTTCTGCCACATATTGGGGCAATGATTAATTTCTCATTTTTTCATTCAGTTATCTTATTAGTATCTAGTTGGTAAACATTTTGAAAGCAAGAGTCTATCTTCTTACACATTTTAGTGCTTACCACACCGTGTAGCCCAGTGTCTTACACAAAATAGAAGCTCAAGAATAACCACTGATAGATAAATTTATGGAATTTAAGCCTGTCATCAATTTTTGTAACACAAACTAGAGGAATGCTCTAGAAAACTGGGTGCCATATTTTCAGCACCATATGTAAGAATATAAGGCGTGTTTGAATTACTAAATAAAATATAAAGTCTAAAATCTAAAAAAAAGTTTTATCAAAGACGAATCAATGACAAGAGACCTAATTAAAATAACTACACTGAACAGAGACTTCACATTTTTCATGTGTTAATGTGATGGGTGGTAAATTTGCCTTTCAGGAAATGGCATCAGGGGTCTTCTATTAGGCTCATATGTCTAATCTTAAGTTTTATTTATATTCTAATAACTAGGTCAGCATTATAAAAGAAGGTATATGACTTGTACCTTTGGTGTTAAGATTGGAATCTTCCAATTTTTTGGATAATAGACGTGATCTATATCAGTATAACTAAATCTTCATTGATTGATGTACAAAACCAGTTTGTTTTTGGCTGGCTCAGCCCTTCCTGAGGGTGGGCCTGGCGTGGTATATGATGCTAGTGTTCGCACCGCGGTCCCCTGGGCCTGCCTAAGCTTGCCTAAGTAGGCCCTTTAGACCTCTGAGCTATCTCGCGGACCCCATATAAAACCAGTTTTAAAACCACATTTTTCCTGGCAATTGGTATGGATAAACCATGACTCTTCTAGCCCGTATTTCAAAATATATTTTTAAAATTCTTCTGTCAAGTAATACCTCATTAATGCTACTGAATCAAAGATAAAAAAGCATTTGAATGTCAAGTGTGTAGTTAATATGAAATGGGAGACGAAAGGCTATGTGACTTTATATAAACTTCCTTGTTTTGAGGTTTCAGAGACTAGCCTCCTTTTTTTTCCCTCCTTTTGAATTGAAAATAAATATATATTTTTTTTTCTTAGAAATCTGGTAAGGTAAAGTGTTCATGTGACCTACTGACCTTGTGAATGAATGTGTTATAATGACAGAGTTTTAATATTTTCCTTTTATCATTTTAAAGCAGAACATCCTCCACCGCCAGTCATACCCATAAATATTCCACTGATAATGACATGTGAGAAAGCAGTCTTTAAAATAGATATTTAAAACTTAATTTCTTAAAATAATATGGTGCTGAGGCTTGTCTTAGAGGTCTATGTGGGCAGGTGAGAATCTGTCAACACATCTTTTCCTCAGCATTTTTTCTAAGGGCAGCTTGCTATTTTGTTTCCTTTGTAATTATTTTTGCTATTTGGATTTTTTTTTCCTGCTGGTCTACTTTAATATCATTTGGAACTGTGAGAAATAAAAAGCATCATTATTTAGATAATCTCATAATATAGAAGAGTTTTTGTGATAAAGACTAAGCTTTCTTTTTGCTACAAACATCTGCCTATATTTGAGTGAAGTGTTATTTATATAGAATGTGCTATTCAATGGCAAAACAATTTATCTAAGAAATGTTCCTTCCCTTGTTTCATTGACTCTCTTGCTCTCTTGCTGTATCTCTCTTGCCTGTTTGTTTTTTGTTACTGTCAAGATAGCAAATTTCTATCTGTAGCAGATGGTTTAACTGCCATTGTTCAAGTGTTTAAAATTCATCCTATTGCACAGTATTTTTATCATTAAATCTCTCATTTAACCCATTAATAAATTGAATCTATGGACTGCTCTGTTTGGAATTTCTGAACCTTTGTTTTTTATCTGAACATAAAAATAACATTTTTTGATATGATAAAAATTCTATCAAAACAAGTTTCTTTCTTGCTTGCTTACTTGCTTGCTTGCTTGCTTTCTGTTTCTTTCTGTCCTTGCTTACTTATGAATGAGGTGAGGCTCTTGCTATGCTGCCTATGTGGCCTCCCACTCTTGGGATAAACAATCCTCTGGCCTCAATTACCAGTGCAGCTGAGTCTATAAATGTGCATTACTACACAGTATTTGATTATTTCTTAACAGAAATCAATTCAATGATGTATTTTATTAAAATGTTCAAAGATATTCTCTCTAGATCAATGGTGGATAATCAAATAGATAGATAGATAGATAGATAGATAGATAGATAGATAGATAGATAGATCAATGGTAGGATAATGCTATCAAATTTTAGACATTACTGAGACATAAATTTATCAAAGATATACTTTTTCCCCATTACTAATTCTTCCATAATTTCTCACAAAAGAAACAGAAAATCACAATGTGCATCTTCATTCTTTTTGAAAAGGGTGTTTCAAACTATTTCTAAATTTCAAATTTGGGCTTCTTTATCCATAGGTCCCAACATCATCCCACCTCTCCTTCCTCACATAAAAAGTCACCAGATTTCATATTTTACCACTGGGAAGGAGTTAAAGTCAGTGCCAAGATTTTCAGTCTGTGCTGTATTCTCAGTACTGGAATGACTAAAACTGGACCAACAAAATTTTGCATTTAACTTTATCCTCAGAACTTTAAGAGTAAGACAACAGGGCCGGGGAGATAGCTCAGTAGAATAAGTGCTTGCCCAGCAAGTGCAGGGTCCTGAGTTCAATCCCCAGTACTAGAAAAAAAAAAAGAGTAAAACCATAGAGGAGGGAGTAAAGAGGGGAGGTGCGTGGAGGGCAAAACTGAAGGTGTATGTGAGCAATGAATGTATGTAAATGTTCTAGTGAAGCCCACTAATTTTAAAATTAATGTTAGTCATTATGATGAAGATGTACAGAAATGCATAGAAAAATGAAAGTAATGAAATGAGTGAATATTTTTAGAAATACTAACTTGTAAACAAATCCTACATGCATATATAAGAATTCAACAAATAGCACTTCACAAGTTACCATGAGTCTTAAGTGTTTTCTACTTTAGAAGTCATACCACTCAATGTAATCCATAAACTGCAAATTAATATCCTACAGCTGGGCAGTGGTACAATCAGTAATAGGATGATTCCAATTTAACATGTGCTAAACAAGTGTAGTACTTTTATGGTGACCATTCACTCCAGTTCTACCAAGGCAATCACACTTTATATTTATCACATTATTATCAATAATACGGGGCCAGGGATATGGCTCAGCAGCCTAAGCACCTGCCTGGCAAGTGCAAGGTCCTAAATTCAATCGCTGGTACTGAAAAAAAAAATCTGTTTGACTCTCAAAAGTAACTTTACTACTTAGGCAGACACAGAGGCTGCAGTTCAATTCAGGGGCCTGCCTGCCAGCCCTGCCCCCAGGGCATGCTGAGAGAGCAGTTGATTGAGACTGGGTGTGGTAGCACATGCCTGTAATCCCAGCACTTGGTAGGCTGTAAACAGGAGGATCACTATGAGTCTGATCTATGCAGTGAGACCCTGTAGACCTTGTAGATCTTGTCCTAAATAAAAAAAAAAGTAGCTTAAATCTAGATGCTAAGTTCTATGGTACTTCTTGTGTACCTATAACATATAGACCTAAATGTTTCATGATGACATATTTTTTAATTTAACTATCTTTTTTATTGATTTATTTTTTCAAATCAAATTGGTAGGACAGTTTCAATACTTAACACATTGCATACATTCTTCCTAGTGGTTAATTGCTGTATGAGATGCGGACATGATATCCTATTTACAAGCACCATTACAACAAATCCCTCTAGAGACCCAG